ATTTGCATTTGATGAAGCTAGAGCATTACTGGAACCACATGACACTTTGAATGGAAATAATTTGTTTTATTACTTGAGAATGGCATTAGCACTTCTTCCAGAATATCATGCCGATAAGACTTTTGGAATCTTTGGTGTTTTTTTGGATACTGTTTCGAAAATGGCAAATTTTTTACCCTCCGCTGTACCGGACCCTTCCCTTCGGTATATTAACATGTAGATCAAAGCAGAAAATTTTTATTTATGGGTTATCCATCAGAACCACTTGTTGCTGAATGTGCTGCTCAATGCATGAATTGTGATAAGATCAAATTAGAAGATTTAATTTACCCACTCATTGATCTTATTCGAAAAGGTGTGGTAGAAGGTGGTTATCGTGGCGAGTTGGTTGCTCAGATTCTACTCATGTTAGCCTGGGACACATCATGCCGAAAGAAACATATTAATATAGCGACTACCAATGTAAAGAAACATAAACCGATTATTTATACACGACCACTGCTTGTGAAGGAATTTTTGGAAACATTCATTAGGAGATCAGAGTGGGAACATGCTCTTGAAGGACAAGTTGATTTGCAACTGCAAGAAAATTTCATGAACGGCATCATATTTTTCACGCACTTTGTTTCAGTTGTTTACACACCAAGCCAGGATCAGTTACGTCATTTTCTCCAGCATGCTGCTGCAGTTAGTTGCCGTAGAAATCAGAGTGGTGTTGACATCATCATTCCAGTTCTTTTGAATGATGAGAAAGTCACTTATATTCTCATTCAAGTTTGTAATTATACAGTATCGGACTCAAAGTATAAACATGCTAGTCAATTTGTCAATCCAGCTTATGCAAATATTGAAGAAGATCCACAGGCTGCATATCTCTCACTATATATGCAACTTGGTTATTTAAGAGGTAATATATATAATCTGAAGTATGAAACATATTCAGAAGAATCATATAATCTTCCACCATCAAAGAAGTCCAAGGTAGACAATATTAGCTCTGAAAGTCAGGCAAAAATACCAAACGAAAAACAAGAACACAAAGCATCTTGTATCAAGCATCAAATGATTCTTGGTCTCTTTGGGCTACAGCCATTTGTTTACCATTTCTAGAGGACGAGGAAAGCCAAGGGAAGAAATCGACAGGAAAGCAGCAGGTGTCATATGCATCTGGTTTATTAAACCTGTTGTTAAAGGCTTGGGTTGATCCTATTAATTTGACAAATGAAAATGATATACCAAAGCTTAAACAAATGATGCCACTTGTGTACTCTACTGAGTGATGATGAAAGATTCAACATAACCTTATTGTAAAGATGTGATATGCAGTGAGAAGACTTGCCTTTTCTATTTCTGTGTGAAAAATACATTTTTTGTTTTTTTGTGATATATTCTTTATTATTTGCCTGACCTACAATCTCATTGGCATTAAGAGTTCTATGAGTGAATTTACCTCTCCTATTAACTTCATTTATTTATGGGAGGGAACCTTATTAATGCAGCACTATATAAGGATTGTCTTCTTTAAACAGATATTATCCTTGGTTGAAAGGAATGGCAGTTATAACATATAATACAGTGTCTCACATATCTATAACTAAAAGTGTATTCAGTATTTGATAAAAAAGTTTAATAGTGACAATAAATTTCTTATTATTGATAAAATGCTTGCTTGCTCAAATGAACAAAAAATGCATACCTTTCTACAACTCATTATTGTTACTCCTAATAAAAAAAAGTACTAATACATGGGGGCTGAAAAGTTTTGTCACCAGGGTTGGATTCAACAATCAACTGACTTATGCAAAAATAGAGTTTATCAATTGTTCCGCAACGTTTTGAGGAATGAATGAAAAAAAATAAATCACAGAACTTATTTTGCCATTCTTGAGAAATCATTTTTGAAACCTATACCAAAACAATTGGACAAAATATGTCATGAATGATAACGACAATACATTTCGTTTCATGTAGGAATGATTGTGAGCCAACTCAGGCTGCAACGTGTTGGTCAATGCAGAAGGGGAAGCACTATCTCTTTGTATGATTTAAAGCTGGATTCATGCATTCAAGAGATAGAGATGAAAGCATTCTTGACAAGGTTTGTTCCAGGCGCCCTTGCAAAGCAGTGACACCAGAAAATTATTGTCAAAATAAAGAATCAATGATAAAACTTTTCAGCCCCCACGTAATAATGAATTTATTGCTAAAATTTATATATATAGGATTACCCGTATATGGAAAATTATGATTATAATGGTTCGACTGAATACGAAAAAGCAATACGTTTCTTGGAGATAGGTTGCAATTGTGGTTGTTCAAAAATGATTCCGAGAGAAAGGTTTGCCGAATTACGTGAGGCGTTTCAAGCTCTGTCCAGATCCGAACAAGATATATTTTTAACCCAACTGAAAGCAATGAATGGTGGAGAAATAACCACCAGCCGACGTCTTAAAAAGAAAACACGCACTAATAAGCGA